CACCACAGTAACACCACAGTAACACCACAGTAACAGTATTAACACCACAGTAACACCACTGTAACACCACTGTAACACCACTGTAACACCACTGTAACACCACTGTAACACCACAGTAACACCACAGTAACACCACAGTAACACCACTGTAACACCACAGTAACACAAATGTAAAACCACTGTAACACCACTGTAACACCACAGTAACACCACAGTAACACCACTGTAACACCACAGTAACACAAATGTAAAACCACTGTAACACCACTGTAACACCACAGTAACACCACAGTAACACCACAGTAACACCACAGTAACAGTATTAACACCACAGTAACACTATTTGTGTAACCATCAGTGTACCACAGTAACACCACAGTAATACCACAGTAACAGTATTAACACCACAGTAACACCACTGTAACACCACAGTAACACCACTGTAACACCACAGTAACACCACAGTAACACCACAGTAACACCACAGTAACACCACAGTAACAGTATTAACACCACAGTAACACTATTTGTGTAACCATCAGTGTACCACAGTAACACCACAGTAATACCACAGTAACAGTATTAACACCACAGTAACACCACTGTAACACCACAGTAACACCACAGTAACACCACAGTAACACCACTGTAACACCACAGTAACACCACTGTAACACCACAGTAACACCACTGTAACACCACAGTAACACCACAGTAACACCACTGTAACCACTGTAACACCACTGTAACACCACAGTAACACCACAGTAACACCACTGTAACACCACAGTAACACCACAGTAACACCACTGTAACACCACAGTAACACCACTGTAACACCACTGTAACACCACTGTAACACCACTGTAACACCACTGTAACACCACAGTAACACCACTGTAACACCACAGTAACACCACAGTAACACCACAGTAACAGTAGTAACACCAAAGTAACAGTAACACCATAGTAATAGTAACACCACAGTAACGGTAGTAACACCACAGTAACGGTAGTAACACCACATACACTGCAGTAACAGTAACACCACAGTAACACCATAGTAACACCACTGTAACACCACTGTAACACCACTGTAACACCACAGTAACACCACAGTAACACCACAGTAACACCACAGTAACAGTAGTAACACCAAAGTAACAGTAACACCATAGTAATAGTAACACCACAGTAACGGTAGTAACACCACAGTAACGGTAGTAACACCACATACACTGCATTAACAGTAACACCACAGTAACACCATAGTAATAGTAACACCACAGTAACAGTAGTAACACCACAGTAACAGTAGTAACACCACATACACCGCAGTAACAGTAACACCACAGTAATAGTAACACCACAATAACAGTAGTAAAACCACAGTAACAGTAGTAACACCACAGTAACACCATAGTAACAGTAACACCATAGTACACTTCTTAAAACATGAAGATGACGCCTTAACACAGCCTTTCTCAAAGTGGGTGCCGCGGCACACTGGGGTGCCCCCTGACTTTGTCAGGGGTGCCGCCAAAAAATTACGTAGGCTAAAAATATATATATATATATATATATATATTTGAATTTACATAAATACATTCTTCTTCTTTTTAAACATATGAACGTATTAATAAAATTGTAAATTCATTTTAGATAAATATATATACACTCACCGGCCACTTTATTAGGTACCCCATGCTAGTAACGGGTTGGACCCCCTTTTGCCTTCAGAACTGCCTCAATTCTTCGTGGCATAGATTCAACAAGGTGCTGGAAGCATTCCTCAGGGAGTTTGGTCCATATTGACATGATGGCATCACACAGTTGCCGCAGATTTGTCGGCTGCACATCCATGATGCGAATCTCCCGTTCCACCACATCCCAAAGATGCTCTATTGGGTTGAGATCTGGTGACTGTGGAGGCCATTTTAGTACAGTGAACTCATTGTCATGTTCAAGAAACCAATTTGAAATGATTAGAGCTTTGTGACATGGTGGAAGTAGCCATCAGAGGATGGGTACATGGTGGCCATAAAGGGATGGACATGGTCAGAAACAATGCTCAGGTAGGCCGTGGCATTTAAACGATGCCCAATTGGCACTAAGGGGCCTAAAGTGTGCCAGGAAAACATCCCCCACACCATTACACCACCACCACCAGCCTGCACAGTGGTAACAAGGCATGATGGTTCCATGTTCTCATTCTGTTTACGCCAAATTCTGACTCTAACATCTGAATGTCTCAACAGAAATCGAGACTCATCAGACCAGGCAACATTTTTCCAGTCTTCAACTGTTCAATTTTGGTGAGCTCTTGCAAATTGTAGCCTCTTTTTCCTATTTGTAGTGGAGATGAGTGGTACCCGGTGGAGTCTTCTGCTGTTGTAGCCCATCCGCCTCAAGGTTGTGCGTGTTGTGGCTTCACAAATGCTTTGCTGCATACCTCGGTTGTAACGAGTGGTTATTTCAGTCACTGTTGCCCTTCTATCAG